CTAGGAGGCAGAGGTGTGGTGCAGAGGAGGACTGATAGAAACAGTGGTGTCAAGAAAGACTGAGAAATTGTTTTAACTATATCTACACTACCATATGTATAACTTTTACTACAATAGGTAAATTCTGCATTTTTAAAATCATTCACTACTGAAAACTCACAGACTGGATGTCCAATACTGTTCTTAACATTGGGGATGAGAACAGAGTAAGCAGGTGACTGGAAGGGATAAATGCCAGCTGGATTTGTAGCGATGATACTCTGAGAAGCGCCGGAAAATACAGCAGAGACAGGCAGTGGAAAACGCTTCCTTTTGCCTGGTCGTGGTTGATAGACCCAACCTGTCAGAGATAAAAAAAGATGCAGACATCCAGTTTTTGGGACGGTCTCATTCTTTACGTAAAGCTATGATATCTGTAATTCTGAAGTATCTAAAAAAATTGAGTCCAAAAACTGCTCCTATAGTCAATGGCAATACTCCATTTGCTTCAGTGACCTAGCAAATGGGGCATTTTATCAGAGGTGGAAATAAAATGGACATATTCGGGCACTGTTTTTATGTTACTAAATAGTAACTGTGAGACAAAGAAATACAGAACAGTGGGGAGTGACGTGGCACAGCTGAGGAAAGCATGTTAAGGAGAACACGACACTGTACCATGGGCTTTCAGTGCAAAAGAAAACCATGACTATATTCAAAATGTGGATCTTTCCTGATTGTTTCCTTAACCCCTTAAGTCTCACATATACCTGCAGGTTACAAAAGACAATGGAAAATATGACCCACTAGGAATCCTGTATAGATTTGGAGGAGTATGTTTGCCTTTGACTTACAACATTAACCAAACACTAACAGATGTATAAATATATTACGAATTTACACGGAGCAGCTTGGTTTCTTACACAGGCTAACTCTTAATGCAACTTTAAAGACTTTTTTTTTTTAAGGGTGCAAGGAGAGAGGAGAGTGCTGCTCTTATCTTTTGTGTGTTTATGACAAATTAGTCAGATCTTGTCTACCTGGATTAGCCATAATCATGAACTAGCAGAATTACAACAGAGAGAGAAAGGATCATGACACCTGGTATCTCAACAGCTTTTAAAGAGTGTTCAAAGTACTTATGCTCTGTTTTATTGAACTGCAGTGTTATGGAGAAATGAATTTGTTACGGGTGCAAATTTTTAACCCTTTTGACAAAAGGCTGAGAAACATCATCTTCCACACCGTTATTTGGGAATCCCAAGTCTACATGTTGAAGAATCCCACAGAATACAATGCCCTTTGTGCTTCCTGTGGCATTTCCCTTTCCTGCTTTTAGGGAATGGATGCATGTGTCACCACAGGCCACCTGGTCAGCTCTTTCCGGAGCGTGTAAAATGATACAGCAGGCCATGTTCACAATAAACTCACTATCTAGCCATTAGACTACTAAAGCATTCAGAAGAGCTGCTGTAGCTGCGGTGGTCTAAGACCATAAGAAACATGAGAGGCTATGAAGGATGAAACATCATTTTGGATGCTTTAAAAAATTAATGCGCTTCCAGGCACCAGAAAGCTGACAGGAGGACTGCGCGCTTGATATTTCTGTAATTTTTTTCTAACTCTATTAGTTGCTCTAATGAAAGAGATCCACGTTTCAAAAAATTTGCACTCCTAAAGCATCCAGATAAATAAATACATGTTTACCAGGAAATTCCTCTCTGTGCCTTTGCTTTATTTTCTGAGCTTCATCATAATAGGGCTGCTTCTGCTCTTCAGTCAGTTTGCTCCACTCCAATCCAAGCTGAACACTGATTTCTGCATTATTGGCAGCTGGGTTAGCTTTTGCTAGGGCGGGCCGATGAATCCTAGCCCACACCATAAATGCGTTCATTGGACGCTTTACATGGCCACTTTTGTCCTTGCTAAATGGAGTATCTGGCATACCTATGCAACAAAACGAGGAAAGATGATCATCTTCCAGGCAATATATGCAACACAGGTTACATTCAATAGTACATCAAGAGGATATTTGGCAAGTCAAAAGAATCGCTGGAGCTTTGGAACACATGAAACTTGATGCACATTTGGAGAGCAGTTCCTAGAAAAATAGCTAAGGCTAAGCGAGTATCCTCCACTAACCTTCACAGAACCACTGCGTAAGGAATCATTTACCTGGCTTTCGTTACATATTATTAACAAAGCCCCAACAAACCCATATGGGACTGCTAACACACTGGTTTGGATTTCATTTGGCTAGATTGTTTTCTTATGAATTTATAAACTTACAAATTTATAAACCATTGTATAGCATAGACCGTATCACTGCAAATTTGTCATCACCACCTGAACTAGTATCCAAAGCCCTAACGATGCAGGGACCAGATCTAATGATGGTATGGCAGTTTAGTCCCACACCTGTGCAGTCCCTGGCTTCTCAGCTGAGGTTGCTGCTGTTCTGGGTTTCTTGCTGGTTTTTTTTTCCCCTCTCTCATTCTTTTCTCAGATTTGGACACTCATTTTGCTGGAGGAACCTGTGTTACCAAATGACTGTTACACGACACCCAGCTTTGGCTCTTTGTAAACACAGACTGCATTTAAATTGAGCTGGTGACATGATGAACCTCCAGACCCCTCACAACTGATCCCTGAGAAAGCAATTTCCTCTCTGAAAAAGGCTTAGAAATGAACTCTCTCACGTTATCAATAAAGGGCAAAAGTCTTCTAGTCTTTAAGACCTCACTTTAAGTCATTAATTTTGAAAGCCTAGATATTGTTCAGAAAAAGTAAGCTTCTAATCCAGGTGGTTCAAAAAGTTTCTCATTTAACATGTCCAAATTTTCTCAGAGAGGTGTATGAATGCTTCATAGCTTTAAAAAATCAAGCAGGTTCCTGACCTTAAACTTGCAATCACAACTCAATGCAATTCTGCACACTGTTATAAGGGGTTTAATGTAGTCAGGGAGCAAGCAGACAAAACTGCATTGATTGTAAGAAACCACTAGAGAACTCTCTGCTCCCGTATGTTTACATCTTACGCTGAAGAAGAGAGTTGTACAGACTCGTCTATCCGAAGGGATGGTTCCCTAACACGACCTTTCCACTTGTGTTCTCCTATCTGATAACCTGTCGACTGTGTGCCACTTACTGAACCCTTGCAAGCTCTCTTAACGTAATACCTGAATCGGAGGGCAGTACTGTGAGGGGAACATTTTTAGTTTCAATCTTTACTGAAGGCTCCAGTAAAGACTGCATTTTAAGTGGCACTTGTTTCACCGGCACTTTAGTCACATGGATCAGCTCTGGCGGCAGAGGGCCTTGGATCTGTATGCGGGTCCCGGGAGGTAAGGAGTGAAACACAACTGGGATCTTCAGGTCTTCAGGGAGGATCCCAAACCCCTCGCACCGCTGCGCCTTGCGGTCGTCGGTGCTGGCACGAGCAGGCCCACACAGGGAGCCAGCCGGGCCGTCGTCCTTTTCCATCTTCACCCTGCAGGCCTCAAAGGCCACGTCAGGCGGCTCCACTTTGACAGCACCTCCTCTCCAGGGCTCCTTCCCACTCCCCCTCTTCTCCAGCACCTTCACCTCGTTCTGGCTTTCTCCGCTGCCCCTTTTGTGGTCCCCTTCCCTCTTGATGGCGCCGCGGGCCTCCTCTTTACCCCCCCACGGGGCTGGGGAGCACCTGAACTCGCCCCCCGACTCCCTGCTGTCCCCGCGGCAGCCCGGCGGATCTCCCTCCTCCGGCTCGGGCTCCTCCACTTTGATGTGCAGCACCCTGAGGGGGCCCTTGGCCTCCCCCTGCGCGGGGGGCCGCGGGGGGCGGCGGG